GATGCGTTGGTGCTGGTTGCTGTCGGCTGGTGGGGGGAGGGGGGGCTTGGTGGCTGTGTAAGCAGATGGTTGGGAGCTTGATGGCCAGAGCCAGGGTGGACCTCAGCTCTGCCCCTTGCTGGCCCATGGAAAGTTGCCCTCTGAGTCCCAGTTCCTTTATCTATAAAAATAGTCCTTATGTAATGTCTCTCCCTCAAGAAGCATGAATTGAACACCTCTTGTGTGCAGCATGGGCATATGTGGCGAATGCTTTATTAATGCTTTGTTAGGCCTCAGGAGGAGCAGAGGGACCCTGGTGGGGGTCCTGGTTCTGGGCTTCTGCCCTGACTTGCTGTGTGACCTCGGGCATGTTAATGCACCTCTCTGAGCACCCGCCTCATCCCGTCATCTGTCACATGGGAATTTTAGGACTCTGCTTCAGAGGGTGGCCATAAAGTTCGCACAGCACCCGGCACATAGTAGGTGCTCAATAAATAACGAGGCTGCTCACCTCAGCTAGTCTACTTATTACCGAACGGGTGGGATATCAGGATCTGACCAGGGAGGGCGTCTTCTGTCTCTTTCCCAAGATATAGTTACAGAATCTGCACAGACCTTCCTGCCGTCCGTGCCCACAGGTGGCCGAACATTCTCCGTCATATTTCTTAACTGGCACTTTCTTTCCATTTTTACTTGTCATTTTTACTTTTATGAAAGTCATGCAAGCTTCCAGATGAAAGATTCTCAGCCCTCTACCTCATAAAGCCACTGCAAACATTGAATCAACAAATACTGAGGTATCATTCCTAGAGAAAATACTGGGTTAGGCTTCTGCAAACCTCCTGTCACGACATTTTTATCAACCAATCAATACATGATCTTGTTTTATGTTTATTCTATTTAAAGACACCTCATTTTATAGAAGTTCTTTTTATTTATTTATTTTTTATTTTTTTAATATAATTGAGTGGCTTCCATACAACACCCAGTGCTGATCCCAGTGAGTGCTCTCCTCAATGCCCATCTCTTTTTGTTTGCTTTGAAGTAAGCTCTGGGCCCAACATGGGGCTTGAACTCATGATGTCGAGATCAAGAGTCACATGTGCTACTGACTGAGCCAGCCAGGCACCCCTATATTCCTTTTTTAAAAATACATATTCTTGGGGCACCGGGGTGGCTCAGTCGATTGAGCGGCCGACTTTGGCTCAGGTCATGATCTCATAGTTTGTGGGTTCGA